AGAAGGCTAGGTGTAGATATCACCTACCAGAAGACCAGGCGTGTGCCTGAAAGACAGCAGTAAGAAGGAGCCAAGGAGTAGCAGTAGAAAGGCGGCAGAAGGAGGAGGGAGCCCAGGGGAGGGGGCAAAGGAGGTGGGGGCAGAAATTGGAGACGAAAGCAGACGACAGAACATTGTTGAGAGCGGGAAAGAAGGTGAAAGGAGACAATTTTAGAGAAGGCATTTTTCCGTCGCTACCCAGATTCGAACCCGGGTCCTTCGAATGAGAGGCGAATACCTTAACCTCTAGGCCACGAGAGCCCCCTTCTGTCTTCTTAATGGAACGTTATGTTATATCCCTCTCATCCCGGGCGGGCTCTGACAGGCATGGTCGATGTAACCAATCTCCTAAATGTTCAAAATTGAGTCGATGGGCGCGTATAAAATCTGTAACTGATTTTATTATTTATTCTACTGGTACTATTTCCATCTAGCAGAGTGAGTCTCATTGAGTAGAAAGCTTCCAAAAGGAAGACAGATAGTAGGGGAGCAGAAAGTGTTTATTTTCTTTGATTTCTTTTACAAGTGTATTTATTAAATTATCTCCCCACCTCAACCAAAAAAAAAAAACCCACACAAAAACAACAACAATAAAAACAAACACAAACAACAAACAACAAAATCGTAGACGAGCATCCTTACTACACCAAACCCAAAGGGTGGGTGCGAGAACCTAGAACTGAGTACCGGTAGCTAACTCCCCAACCCCCCCCCCAAAAAAAAAGGCCAAAAATCCCCCATAAAGCCGATGATTATTTACCCAGAACCTGCCCCTGTTTACACGTTGCGGGTCTAACGTTTGTGTAAATCGTACTTCAATGACATAGCGCAGCCATTCGCTCCACGATATCGGCAAATTGTGAGTTTGTTTCTGCAGTCGCCGGCGCGCTTTTCCCTTTCGTCAACCCGCAGCCACCTCCCAATCGTCAGCCACCCCCAAACTTTGACACGGGTCAAACTTCCATCTATTTATAGGTAGTTACCGGAACATGTATAGGTGAAGTGTTGTGCCGTGATAGTCGCGATATATTATTTATTGAGATTGTTTTGGTCTCTCTTT